TAAAAACACATAATTGAAATGCATTCAACTAAAACATTGGCCATCTCTTACTGAGAGGGAGTAGAACAAGAGAAAAGATGAATACTGTAATCTGTGATTGGAAAGACTGATCTAACATTCTGCGGATACTTTTACAGCTTTAGCTCTCATTCTCGAGCAGAACAAGTAGACATATACGTACAAAGCCCATCCATTATTTCCCAGCAGTGGTGGATTACTCCTGACCCGACATGGTTTGACATTTACAATATGCATTTTATTATAGCGACTGATCTGCGAATTAATGTTGGTATTGCAAGCCTGCAAAAAAAAAAAAAAAAACCCTGCACAATCCAAGCACCAGACTGACCCTCCTGCTTCTCCGTGACCTTTATTTAACACACACAAATTCCACACACTGAGCCTTACAACACTGGCAAACAGAATTGACAATGACATATGGTACTGCGCGGATAACGGGCATAATTGAGAGCTTTAAAAATAACTGATGCCTTGCAGTGGTTTCTCTTCTCTATCACAGCTTTATAAGTGGAAAAAAAACACTTTCATTATTAGAACAAATCAAGATCATCACCAATCAAGCAGAACAGATTTTTTTTTTTCAAGGAATGTTCTTTAATTACGAATAGGACAAGAAATAGAAATTAACCAGAAAAAAATCCAGTTTTGGTTATTAAAGAAGAAGGAAACAAGCAAAGGCAATACATTAATGGTTCTGGGAGGGTCAGATGATTTGTCATAGTGCTGGCAAAGAAAAAAGAAAAAAAAAACAATCAAGAACTTTTTGCGCATTAAAAGCCCTGAAAAGCAATGGCTTGAACGTTTAAGGCTGCAAAGCTGGCAAATCTCTTTCAAAGTTTCGCTCAGCTGTTCCACTCCATCTGGGTTTGGACCAGACTTCCAGTCTCGCTGCCACAGGCATCGGTCATCGCGAAGGCCCAGCACACCAAATGCAAATTTCTATACACCCAGAGCAGGGGGGTTAATGAATTGTGAGTAGAAATCCAACAAACAAACAGGCCTGTTTACCCAATAAGCTTTAAAACAAATGCATGAGGCACGCTGATGCAATAGAGAGAAAACACACAGCAAGAAATGTGCTCACATTGGAATTCTAAAGCACTCCTCTGAAACTTTATCCCCAACAGCCACGATTAGACTGCTGAGTGAGACTGCAGGATCACAGAGCAACAAAACCAGGGTGCTTTCATCAAAAGCGACTCCATATTTCACACACAGCTTTTAGCTTAGAAATCCATAAAATAGTAAATTTTCCAGGACGTTTGGAATCAAAAGTTGGGTGAGGCAATACCTTTAATGTATAGTATACTAGGTTTGGTTCAGTGCATGCAACTGGAAGCAATGCTACACCAAAGAAAAAAAAAACATTGAAAGTCATGCAGGCTGGATAAAGTCTAGGGAGCCCTGCTGGAGAACTATCAGTCACTTCTTACTGCATCAGTCAGATCATATCACATACATTGCCTGCCAATCATCAACATGTACTACTTCTTCATTATTTAATTCTCTGGCCAGTGATCTTAGCAAATGCCAAAAAGAAGGTGAAACAAACTGCTGTGCTAGACTGCACATTATTTTAAGTAGAGTGCTTTGATGTTTATGTTTAAGTTGTGCAGTTAATATATCTTTTTATAATCTGAACAAATTCATAAACCTGCGTGAATTGATGAAACTTTCCCAACCTTCTTTGAGGATGGTGTGCTGTTTGCTCTGCCATGCACCGATGTAGTTGGACCATAGATATAGACCCTTATTATGACTTCGATGTACTGCTTCCAATAGTTCAGTGGGAAACTGCCCTGGTGGTCCTACACTTACTCCGAGAATGAACCATGGTGCCATCGAATCTTGGATTAGAGCAATTAGGATCCATGTGCGGAGTTGTCACTGAACAGGCAGTCAAACAGTAAAGGCATCAAAATATCAAAGTCACAGGGAGAATTCAACAGAATACATAAGGTAATATAGGTACTATGGGTCAAGAGAATGGCAAGACTTTGCATATACCAATGAGATGAAACAGGAAATGGGAGTATGACTAGAATTTTGGAGACAGTGACCTCTGCTGGCAAGGAGGGGTACTATCCTGAACTGATGTGACATGCTTAACCTCCTGTATTTGAATCCATGATTGGTTAATATCAGACATGACTGAGAATAGCAGCAGTAGTTGAATGATTGGCTGATACAAAAAATAATTGGCATTTTCCCAAATTCTATCCCAGTCATGGCTTTCTTTTGGCTGCAGCATTACCCTACTTGAATCCGTTTACATTTATTTAATCTCATGAATCACAAGTTATAATAACAAAAGGTTTAAAAGCAAAAGCGCTCTCCTTTCCAAAGAATTATGCCCTTATCCAACACCATCTTGGTAATGTGATGAATTGGATATAATATTTAAGTCTATTGTGTGTAATATTTAGATAATTATAATGCCATCGTTTAAATTAAAGCAGCCTACATTCGGAGACAGGCCCCTCTATGGCTCCGCAACATAGCGATCAATGCTGTGTTCGGTATTACTGGGTCCAGAGACCTCCTCATCTCTGTCCTCTGATAGTTATCAGTGGACTGCTAGGGGACAAAAAAGTAATTTAATAATTAACACGAGTATACAAGAACAGCAAAGAAAATAAATGATGGTGTTGAAAGAGAGGACAATGAGTCGACATTAACAATCAGGTCCGTGGTGTGACTAACGAGCTCGCCCCGAAACGTTTTAATTAGCAGGCCACTGGACGGCAGAGTGATTAATGAACACAATTTTATTTAAGCTTTGCTCTGAATTAATACCAAATTGACATTTAATGAAAATTAAACTTGCCGCCATCAGAATTCAAGTTGTTTTCAGGCTCGGAAACAGTAGCCTGCATGATCAATGAGCTGGCCACCAAAATACAATACAATACAATACACTTAAATACAATACAATAAATCTAATACATTTTAAAAAGTACTAATGATTCCTAAACAAAGCAGACAAGGTGGCTTTGTTTTATTTCACCCACTCAATGAATCTCGCTCACTGTAAACTCATTTTCCTTTCCATAATCATGAATATGTAAATGCACGATTTGGCAAATCTGCATAACATTTTCTGGCACCCCATGCCATGAAGTTCATTTAGTAATCACATGACGCTGTCTGACAGCGACGGTATATGCAGAAACGGAGTAAGATGCAAATGTTCTGATAGTGCCGCCCTGCTGCTCTTTTCGTTTGATCTCTCATTTAATATTCACGTTGGCGAGTGAGTGAAAATAGCAGGGTGTCCGTCCAACTGTTTTCATGCACATTTTGAATGTGCAGATAAGAAAAACCTGATTGGATACCAGCAGATATTTAAAAGGTTGAAATATATTGACCAAAACGATTCGTCTCAAGTGGTAAATGGTGGTGTATTGAGTTTTTGTTTGTCTCCCAAATCCAGGATAATCGCAAGACAAATGGCAATGAAACTACAAGTTCATTTGTCACATTTGATTAGAATTAGTGAATGGAATCATATTATGTATTGCTGGATGTGGCTTGGTGAGGGTTGACATGCCGCTACCAATTTGTCTAGATGGAGGTGAATGCAGAGCATCGAGATTGGTTTCTGGCCCTCTGTAACTTTGTGTTGCTCCAAGCCCAGGACCCTCCTGACTGTAGCATGCATGAATCAATATTTCAATGAATCTGCAGATCAAAAGAGTTCTGGAGCTGAGGGTTTCTGTTCCAAGCAGCTCACTGCCCTTTTTTTTGGTCTTTGTATTCCTCCCAGCCTCGGGTTTTGCTGTCCCTTTGCTCTACTTCTGTTCTTCTCTTCTCTTCTCTTCTCTTCTCTTCTCTTCTCTTCTCTTCTCTTCTCTTCTCTTCTCTTCTCTTCTCTTCTCTTCTCTTCTCTTCTCTTCTCTTCTCTTCTCTTTAATACTGTAGAAACTATTTATGTACTCAGAAATTTGTGTGCGGAAAAAAAAACCAAAAAACATTCCAAACATTTTACTATCGCGATTTCATATGACTAGCTGTTTAAAACAAACTGCAACTGATTCATACTTTTTAAACTCTAGTCTGAGTAGAATTAGACTGTTTTTATTGTTTTTTTATGGCCCAGGATTTCATGCCTAATATACCGGTAATAGACATATGACAGAAGTTGTGTTTATTTGGTAAACCAGCTTTGTGTTGCACCAAGCCCAGGACTCTCCTGACTGTAGCATGCACAAATCAATATTTCAATGAATCTGCAGATCAAAAGAGGTTTGGAACTGAGTGTTTCATTTTTTTTTTTTTTTTTTTTTTGTCTTTGTATGTCTCCCAGCCTCCAGTGTTGGGTCCCTTTGCTATACTTCTGTGGCTATCTTCTCTTCTCTTTTCTAATATTCCGGTAGTAGACAAATGACAAAAGTTAAGTTGTGTTTGTTTGGTCCCCCAGTGAAGATCCATGTGATCTTAAAACTATTAAATTTTCTGATTCATTTTTTTTTCAACGGAGGAAACACTGTAACGAAGTGTACAGGAATTTTTTTTATTGTTTTTTTAGTATCGTGGCATCGACGATTTAGAAGCATGTCCAGGAATCGATGTTAAAACAGCGTCTTGCACTTTTATTGCAGATTTGAGTTAACAAAAATGTAGAAATCACAACTGTAGCTTCTTAACTGTCTTTAAGTGCAGTATGTTTGACCCAGGTCATTCTTATTATGCCATTGATTGGACCATTCACCATTCCGATTGGTCTACCTAGATGCCGCTCAAAAGCAACTGGACCTCTGACAAATCCCCACCAACTGGAATCCCTTCTACACAACAACGTACCGAGGGAATTCCAGATCTAGAACAACTTCAGGTCTCAGTCGAAGCTGGCGTATTTAATAGAGCTTTTCTAAAATGGAAAGTGTCTTGTCATAAATCATATTTATGATTTATTGTCTTAAGTTGTCCAATCTTGTTACTGTGCTCAGAATTCGTGTTTCACATCAATATAGTGATGTGGCAGTGGTAGCTCAGTGGTTAAGATGTTGGGCTACTGATGAGAAGGTTCTGAGTTCAAACACCAGCAATGCCAAGCTGCCACTGTTGTGCCCTTGAGCAAGGCCCTTAGCCCTCAACAACTGTAAATCGCTCTGGATAAGGGCGTCTGCTAAATGCCACAAATGTAATGTAATGGATATTATTATTGGTGGCAATGGGATTAATACCCTAACAAGATTCATTAAGTTCAACTCATCGCTGGATGAGTTGATCAGCTGTTGAAATATTAAGTTTGCACATTTCCCCCATTTGGAGCTCAATCTAACAAAAGGAAAAGCTTAATTTCCCTACAGCTCCTCCATTTTATAATCAATAGCACAGGAAGGGGGTGGGGCATTACAAATCAGTGGTACTTATTCTCCAGGCCTGCACTACACTTTTGTGTGTGCATGTTTGTATGTCAGAGAGAGAGAGAGAGAGAGAGAGAGAGAGAGAGAGGGGGGGGGGGCAGAGAGAAAGTGAGAGAGAGAGAAAACCTCTTGAGATGGCTGTTGACGACTGTGACCACAGAGCCATGCACACTCTTAGCTCAAGCATCTTAATGCTCTCATCCTTCATCATGTTTGCGTAGCCAAATTCTGCCTGGGAGACGCACAGGCAATAAAGCAGCTCCAGCACTCCACAGAGCTCATGCAATCATTCCGCAATCTAGTGAAAATCAGTTTGGTCTGAGGTATAATGAAGTTTACAGTTAATGTCCCACAGCAGCAAAGTAGACCAGAACACTAAGCCACAAAGTACAGTCTCTTGTTTAGAATATCAATAGGCAATTACGAGACAATATACTAATGTACTGCAGGTGAATAATGCATTATATTATTAAAGCTCTTTTGTTAAGTCGAGAAAAGTAGGAGGAGACATCGTATATTCAACTGAAGACCGGAGACGAGCTTTACCATTGCACACCATGTTCCAGCCTGATAATTTCCTTGAGCTCACTTAGCCTCGGAGCATTATTCTTCTTTTTTTTTTTTTATTCTTCACACAAATTCTTTAATTAATTCCTGGCAAACGCGAAATAAAAAAGGGACACCAGAGAGGCACTTGCTATTGTTACTAATATTTTCAGAAGCGTCAGCTTAACTTGCAGGTTATTACTGCAGGTTGTTTCCAATCCTGTCAAACCAAACCGCCTCCTTTATCTTGACATCTATTTGTGTTCCCCGTATATTTTACATATACCATTTTGTCATCATTTATCTGCTGTTTGTCATTGATGAAACTGTGCCACATTTCAGTGGCATCCTACATAAACAAGCTGCCGAAGTGGTACTCCGATGCCGAGGTGACTACAAGCCAAATGGCTCCAGGGAGAGATGTTTGCGTAATAACAAATTACACGTTGAAATAAGACAACTCAATAACAGCACGCGCTAATTATATGCACTAGGCGATCTCCATCAGTTCCCAATGTACAATCCTTGGCTCCATTGATCATCTGCTCCATTTGTTTAAATAAATGTGGAAAGGAGGCTCAGAGGCCAGTCCTGGCCCAGTTTCAGCATTAGCACCTTCCACACTACTATTATCATCAAACATCATCAAATATGAAGTGCAAGAAGGTGATATGCGATAACATATGGTGTTAGAAAGCAGAACTTAATTGTGTTTCCTAAGAAAAATTATGCAATGAATTATGCAAGACTAGGTTATATGTTTATGAGCTTGAATTCACACATGGACACGGCCGTATAATTATGTTCTACTTGATGCTAACGTATTGTACGTGTGTGTGCATGGACCTCCTCATCAGCAGAAGTCACAATCTTGGTCAATCACGATTAAGGCAAAACACAAACACGTAAGACAAATCCAAAAGGGTAGTTGAACACTGATGCAAGCTTCAAAATACACGATAAGCAATACCAAGGGTAATACAAGGAAAAGGCTTAGATTTAACAAGCACAGAAATAGTAGCGTCCTTACATAGAGAGGAAGCTGTGTTAAACGTTTAATTATCAGAGTGTTGGACAGGATTGCTAGAAGGGAGGAGAAATATCCCGAGCTGATGTCCGTCCAACCATCTGTTTTCTATATGACTTTTTATACACAGGGTTACATGGGGCCTGGAGCCTATCCCAGGGGACTCAGGGCACAAGATTAGGAATATGCTGGATGTGGTTCCAACCCATAACAGGGGACAATTGCACACACATTACAGACACCAATCAGCAAGTACTTTGGACCGGAGGAGGAAACCGGAGTACCCAGAGGAAACCCTTGAATCACGGGGAGAACGTGCAAGCTCTGCACAGACAGGGTGGAAGAAGGAGTTGACCCCCCAAACCCAGAGGTGCAAGGCAAACCTGCTAACTACTAAGCCACCGTGTATCCCCCCCTCTCTGCGAAGTCTTGTCAATACTAGAGAGCAAACTATGGAGCCAAGGTATGGAGCTGTAGCACTGTAGAAATAAGGTGTTCTGGATAGTTCAACTGAAAAACAAAAAAGAGAAAATAACGACAGGATCTAATACATTAAAAGTTTTTTAAGTATATATTGCTTGCTATAACTTCCTAATCATTCATTTAGCGTCAGCTCCATGCTCGGCTGATTTCTACGATTTCTGCACATGCTTGTCAAAGTTTGGCTTTGTTTGGCTCTGTTTTACTTTTTCCCTTTTCCATATTTCTGGCCAATGAGTTTTCATGAGTAAACTTCAGCCCTACTCACACCTCAGAATGTTTATTTATTAATTACATTTTTGGTTCATTTAATTACGTGTCGTGTGAAATCGAATAAAATGAAACAGTAAGTGAACCAAAAGTATCAATTTCGCTCTGATTCGGACTCATAAGAGGCAAAGAGAACAAGAGTTGGAGGGAGTGCAATGTGCAGTAATTTATTTCGAATGATAGCTGCCAGAGGCAGGAACGCCCCTTCTTCCACACGCCTGGCATGTGTTCTGCCGCCGTAAATGTCAGCGCGCAGAAACGGGCACTCACGGGTCATTAGAGAGGGCTGTCAGAGCCCTGATTTCACTCTGGCCCTGCTGAGAGCAAGAGTAAGAGAGAGAGAGAGAAAGAGAGAGAGAGAGAGAGGGAGAGAGAGCACCTTGTTAGAGTGCTGCAGTGAGGCGCGAATACTGAACTCATCCATTTAGAATGGAGCAAAATTCCTCAGTGAACACAAACTCCCAAACTGTTGAATGCTCAAAGGGCAGTGAGATGCTACATTTACAACACAGGTCTTGCGTCATCTGTGAAGTGAACATACTTACATTGGCCCAAAGAAAACATGCTGCTCATGCAGACAGAAACACAAAAGAAGGCATGTAACTCAAGTCTGTTGTCTTGTTCTGTGGATGCACAGTGTTTACTGTAGTGTGTGTGCCATAGAGATGAAGATGTTACAGCAACTGAAGTATGAAAGAGAAGAGAGAGAGAGAGAGAGAGAAAGGTATACTAGTTGCATGTCGACAGCCAATTTGTCACTTCAAACGTGGAGGGCTGACCTGGGGGTGGAGAAACGGCAATCTTGGTGAGATGCACCTGAGCCTACGCAGCAGTGACACTTCAAAGAAAAACACACTCTACCTCGTTTAATGCGCATAAGGCTCACTCTCTCTCTCTCTCTCTCTCTCTCTCTCTCTCTCTCTCTCTCTCTCTCTCTCTCTCTCTCTCTCTCTCTGTGTGTGTGTGTGTGTGTGTGTGTGTGTTTATCAGGTACTAAAAAGAAGAAAAAGTATAATGAGTCATTAAAATATGTATATGAATATGATATGTTTAAATTATTTCCTCTGGGTACTCCGGTTTCCTCCCCCAGTCCAAAGACATGCATGGTAGGCTGATTGGTGTGTCTAAAGTGTCCGTAGTGTATGAATAGGTGTGTGAGTGTGTATGTGATTGTGCCCTGCGATGGACTGGCACCCTGTCCATGGTGTACCCCGCCTTGTGCCTGATGCTTCCTGGGATTGGCTCCAGGTTCCCCCGCGACCTTGAAGAAGGAGTAAGCGGTAGAAGATGGATGGATGGATGGATGGATGATGCAACAAAACCGAAAAAAAGGAAAGGTGTCCGGATATCAGTAATATCCTTCTACCGCCTTTTAATTCTTCATGAGATCTGCTTCCATTAAACATAGGAATGAACATTCCTTTGGGCTATTAAATTTTATTTGCACATATAAAGTAGCAGTGCATGCTTATACCAATGGCTGAAACATTATTTAATTCCTCATTATGAGAAAGAACAGAAACGGTTCATATGCTGGTTCATATTATACCTAAGAACCCAGCGTGAATTGAAAAGAACACTTAGATTGCACTATAAATAAAGGTTATGGATATGGATATCCATTTCTGAAGGGGTTTATGATTCGTTGTTCGTTAGCGGACTTCAATCAATGTAAAATATATACGGTATGGGAAATTGTGTGTAAGGAATTAAACACAATAGGCCAAACAAACAACAACAGGAAATAATGCTAAATGGATTATATGTGCAACAGCACATCCTGAAATGCTTTATTCCTCTTATGCAATAATTTACCAACGCTTAAATTCTTTAATTTATTAAACAACATCATGTCCGACATTTGATTCAAGTTTAGTTACATTTAATGTTGTGGAACATGAATGAAAGAAGTTAGTTCCCACTTTGACTTTAATTATAAACAATCGTTCCCTCAAAAAAACTTGCATTTTTTGTCTATTAACGCTAATAAAAAGAAAAATTTGCAGCTTGTCACGTAACTTGAAATCCACAAAAAAAGCACAAACAAGTCCCTTTAAATGAGTTGTTACTATAGAAACGTGAACGTGAAAACGTTAAGGACAGCCTACATTACAGTCAAAGCTGCAGTTATAAAAAAATGAATCGGACCAATCACATTAAAGGATTCAACGGCTCTATGGTATAAAGTAATTTTTAATTCTAAGAAAATTAAATTACTAAGACAATTTCTTTGCATTATTGCAGTAATACAGTTTTTTTAAAAATATGGGAATTCTAATTGCTTGGCGTGTCTCATTTCCACAATTGTATTAATATTGCATCTACACTCTCAGAGTATTGAAGAAGGTGACGTTTAAATTA